TAGTCCTAGTTACCCTGGAGGCTGAGGAAGAGGATCTCTTAAGCCCAGGAGTTCCAGGCTACAGTGAGCTAGGATCTCACAATTGCAACCTAGCCTGGGTGACAGAGTGAGACCCTGTCTCTAATAACAAATATATATATATATTTGAATTGTAATACGTATAGGTTGTTTTTAGACTGTGATAATAACAGCCTTGACTGGATTCCCCCAGAAGCTGACCCAGGGCTAGCATTTCACTTGGGAGGTGACAGCAGGAAAGAGCAGGAGGGGAGTGGGGAGGCCAATAAAGGTGTGCTGCGGGGCACTTCCCCGAGGGAGACTGAGGCAGCCTCCCTGGGACTCTGCCATGCAATGGAGCATGTGCAGCCAGCCAAGCTACCCCCGCCAGGGGCAGCCACAACAGGGCATTTGCCCACCAACTGTTTGCCTGCCATTGGCCGAGGCCTTCCTCTGAATTAACTCTCCAGGGCTTCCGGCTTGCCGTGCTCCAGAAAGAAATCCCTCAAGCACAAACAGAGATGCAGGTGTTCCCAGAAAGCAGGCCTTCAGTTGGGGGAATCTGGATGGGCACTGATGGCCTCTGTTGTCCTGCCTTGCAAGGCAGATCCACTGCTACAGATCTGTGTCCTGGCCCTGATTCCTCATCATGGTGTCCAGTCATACTTTACTGGGGGAGAAAACCCACCTCAGGAGGGTCAGCAGGTCGGGCTATACTGCCCACTGCTGCAGTTAGTTCTCAGGCTATAGTGATTGTCATCATCTTCCTTAATCACCCGGCTCGGTTCTCTTCACCTGCAGCCAGCACTTCTGTGGCCCAGGCTGCTTCCTCGACGAAGTGACCCAGACCTTCTTCCCCGTGAGGTCTGGCCTTTGGTTATCATTCCTCGTCAGGCCAGGGTTGCTGCATTGCCCGTCTACTGGCATCACCAGGCAAGGAAAAGATGTCCAGTGAGTCCCCTGCATTCCAGAAATAATCCTCCCTCCCGTGTCCTACTCATAATCAGGACCAAATTTTGTTGCCTGGGATCCATGAGGATCCCAAATAAGGAGAGGCTTTTAGATTTAGTGAACCTTGTGTCACCCAGGAGAGCATCTTCTGCACATCCCAGGGGCCAGGACTCCAGCTACTGGGGATGCAGCACCATACACGGATATCAGGTTCTGAATATAAACGGCATCCCACAGCACAGCTTCCAACCCCACTGCAGTGTTCGCTGTGCCTTTGTGGGGCCATGCTGATGTCCTATCAGGGTGGCAGTTCGGGGTGTGCGATCTATGGTGGAACCAGTGGAACTTGTGGTCACATCCCCTTTGTCTGCCTCTTTCGCTCTTACAGGGTGCTTGGTCCAAGGTGGTCTTATGGGAAATCCTGTGATGATAAGGCAAGACATTCTGTAAGAAACTGGGTAGTCATGCCTGCCAAGGCTCTACCAGCAAGGAAGACAAACCCAAACCCAAAATATGCATCTAGAAATCAACTTGCCACCAACTGGCTGCTCGGTCTTCTTGAGGGACAGCAGCCACCACATCATGGGCTGCCCATTGGCCTCACGGCGGGAGAGGGCAGAGGCACTGTCTAGATTTGCCTTGTTCAGTGGGTCCCTGTAGCCTCCGACCCTGTGAATGGCCATTCCATTTTCACAGGCCCGCTGTGCAGAGACTGCCTGGCCCGCCCTAGCTGAATCATCCCATTTGCTCCATGCCTTGCTGTGGATGCTCTCTGCTGGGCGGGCATTCGTGTAAGACACATGGATGGGCCAAAGACTAAGTCTGTGTGAGGAGCACGTGTGAGTTCTTGAGCTGAGAGGCTGCAATATCCACAGCATGGTTGCGCAGCTGCTTCCCGGCCACCCTCCTCTCCATCCAGCTGTTATGTTTCTCCAGCAAGTCTCCTACCTTAGGGAATTTCTGCACCAAAAGCAGGCACATACTCTTGGTCACATACAGTCCTGAGGGCAACCCAACTCTGCCAAGAACTCCACACTGATGCTCAGCTCCACTCTGACAGCAGCAAGCACAGGCTCATGGGTGCCTAGGGCCAGCAAGTACTAACCCACATTAGAACAGCCGAGTGAATTCCTCATAAGCTCCAAGAGGTGTCTTACCCAATTGCTTGGGGACTGTCTTTCTGTTCTTTCTTTCCTCCCTTCCTGCCTTCTCCTTCCTTCCCCTCCCCTCCCTTTCCCTGTCTTTCTTTCTGGTTTTTTTTTTTTTTTTTTTGAGACAGCGTCTCGCTCTGTAGCCTAGGCTGGAGCACAGTGGCGTGATCTTGGCTCACTTCAACCTCCGCCTCCAGGGTTCAAGCAATTCTCCTGCCTCAGCCTCCCAAGTAGCTGGGACTACAGGCAAGCGCCACCACACCTGGCTAATTTTTTGTATTTTTAGTAGAGACAGGGTTTCACCATGTTAGCCAGGATGGTCTCAACCTCCAGACCTCGTGGTCCACCTACCTTAGCCTCCCAGAGTGCTGGGATTACAGGCATGAGCCACCGTGCCCGGCCTGGGGGCTTTCTTTATAGTGCGGGGAGACTTTAGGGTGACCATATAGTGTCTAAAAGGAACGCTTTTGACAGTAAAAAGGGCACTCAGAAATTAAGCCATCATAACAGACACAAATCAGAGTCATCCCAGGCAAAGTGGAACATGTGGTCACCTTAGTTATCTGCCTTCTTTCCCAGTGCAAGTGGCCAATTCCAGGATAACCAGAAAAATCCATCTAAATACTCTGTCATACCAGCTCAAACCCCATGATCCTGTCTAATGTCATTTCTCTGCATAGACCCCAAACTCCTCTGCTCCTGGCTCCTTCTTCTGTGTCAAACTCTAATCTCAGCTACAATTAATTTTCTACTAACTCCCTGCCTGCACTAGAGCAGCCAACACACACACAAGCAGGCTGACTGGTTCCATTTGAGACTTAAGACCACACATCCCAAGTGGGCATTCTGCCCTCCCTGGCAATCTGACTACATATGTTCAGTAATTTGCCTTACAATGTCTAAGACAACAGTCTCCCCCCTTCTCCGTTCTCCCTTGCCCCCATTCCCTCCTCACAGATGATCTTGTTGGTTCCTTTGCTAATAAAACAGAAGCAACAAGAAGAGTATTTTCTCACTTTCTCCTCACCATGTCTACCAACCCACCACAACTGTAGCTTCACATTCTGCTCACTCTCCTACTACACAGCTCAACTCTGTTGGCTCCTTTCTAAGAAAAACGTCTGATCCTCGTGCAATAGGCCGTACCCTCTCTTACCTTTCTCAAAGACTTTGCTCTGCAGTTGCTCCCTCTTTACCCGTTTCGTTAACAGCTCCCATCTTAAAACAGACCTTTTCCTCGATGCCATGCCCCTCTAGCAACCACCCGGTATCTCTGTTTCCTTTATCACAAAACTCCTCAGAGTGGTTGTCAAAGTAGCCAGATGAAAATACAGAACATCCAGTTAAATGTGAATTTCAGATAAATAAGGAATAAGTAGTATACCTATGTCACGTGCAATATTTGGGCCGTACTTACACTAACAAATACTAAAACAATGTTTTAGTAGAAGTATATCCCATGCAACATTACTTTAGTGATATATCTATACTAAAAATTACTTGTTGTTTATCTGAAATTCAACTCTACTGGGTATTTGTATTTTTATTGCTAAATCTGCCAACCTAGGTTGTCGAAACTTACTTTTTTCCACTTCACTTAATATTCTTTTCACAGTCCACTCTGAAGAGATGTAGGTTCCCCACACTCCTTTGAAACTGCTTTTGTCAAGGATGTCAATGACTGGCATATGCCAAACTCAGCTTTCTCTGGAGTCTTGGCCTCACAGTGCTTCTGAACATTGTCTAACAATTTCTCCTTCCTGAAACTATTTAGCTTCCAGAATCCACTACCCCCACTTTCCTGGTTGTCCTTCCTCCCTGACCACAGTCCCCTGACCCCGAGCATCCCCCCGACCTGGAGCATCCCCTGACCCTGAGCATCCCCCCGACCCCGAGCATCCCCCCGACATCGAGAACCCCCCGACCCCGAGAACCCCTCGACCCCGAGCATCCCCCCGACCCCGAGCATCCCCCGACCCCGACCTTCCCCCGACCCCGAGCATCCCCCCGACCCCGAGCATCCCCCTGACCCCGAGCATCCCCCTGACATCGAGAGCCCCCCGACCCTGAGAACCCCTCGACCCCGAGCATCCCCCCGACCCCGACCTTCCCCCCGACCCAGAGCATCCCCCGACCCCGAGCATCACCCCGATCCTGCGCATCCCCTGACCTGGTGCGGCGCCCTGACCTAGTGCAGCCCTTAAACCCCTGCAGCCCCCTGACCCCATGCATCCTCCTGACCCAGGGCTGCCCCTGACTCAGTGTTGCCCCCTGACCCCAGTGCCTCGTCCTGACCTGTTGCAGCCCCTTGACCTGGTACAGTCCCTTGACTCCAGTGCATCCTTCTGACTCAGTGCTGCCTCCTGACCTGGTGCATCCTTACCCAGTGTGGCCCCCCGGGGATGCACACTCCAGGGCCTCCTCCTGACCTGATGCTTCCTCCGGTCTCGGTGCAGCCCCCTGACCCGGTGCAGCCCTGTGATCCCATGCGTTCTCTGGACCTGGTGCATCCCCCTGTCCCGGAGCGGTCCTCCGACCCGGTGCAGGCCCATCGTGGTGAACTGTGGTCCCACAAACGCACTATCATCCCTCAGTCTCTGAGATGACCCGAGGGCACGCGGACGGATGGCGCACCGGCCCGCCCCCTGAGCTTGTACCCTTCTCCTCCCTCACCGCTCCCCACTTCCCGCCGCCGCAAAGACGCCAGCAAAACCTCTTACGCGTGTCCATTCCGACAGCTGGGTCCCTCGGAACCCAAGACACGCCGGCGTCCACCGCCCACGGCCCCTGCTGACCTCCCGCTCCCGCGCCGGCCTGCTCCCCTCCTCCCAGCCTCCCCTGCGGGCGCCGCCCATCGAAGACTCGGCGCTCGACTGCCCGGCGGATCGACGCGCTCGGCGCTCGCGGCGGGCGGAAGTGAGGAGCCGGCAGCGGGCGGCCGCGGCGTCTTCGGCGAGACCTATCGGGCCGGGTCCGGGCCGGCCGTGGGCGGCGGCAGGCGGCTGGAGGTACGTGTGGGAGGTGGAGGGCCTGGCCGAAGGCCAGCGGGACACGGACGTCAGCTGCGCGAAGGTGGCCGCCGGCGGCGTCCGTCCAGGCCTCAGTTGTGAAGGGACAGCCGCGCCCACCCGCGCCATCGGTCACCTGCGGGTCCCGCGACCCCCCGCGGTTCCCAGCCCGCCGCCGCCATCCCCGCCGCCAGCCGCCTGCTGGGCTCCGCGTCCACCCCGCAGTGCCCATCCCCGCATTTCCCAGCCCCGCATTTCCCACCCCCGCAGTGCCCAGCCCCGCATTGCCCAGCCCCGCGGTCCCCACCCCGCAGTGCCCAGCCCCACAGTGCTCACCCCCGCAGTCCCCACCCCCGCAGTGCCCAGCTCCGCGGTCCCCACCCCCGCGGTGCCCAGCCCCTTGGTCCCCACCCCCGCGGTCCCCAGCCCCGCAGTGCCCACCCCCGCGGTGCCCACCCCCGCGGTCCCCACCCCCGCGGTCCCCACCTGCGCCGGTGCTGGGCGTGGGCGCCGAGCGCTGACTCCGGACTCCGGGCCCCGCCCCTCGCCCGTGCGCAGTCGCCGCCCCGTGAGATTGGAGAATGTCTCCGGCAAGTGAAGGCGGGGCCGGTTTGGCCTGTGTCTGCCTGGGAGAGCGTCCCGCTCCGGCGTCCTGGGCTCTGGAGAGGGGCCCGCCGCTGTTGCCGGCGTTGCGTGCACGGACTTGGTCCCCGCGCGGGCGGACGCTGCCGTGTGAGCCCATTTTACAGATGGGGAGCGGCGGCGGCTGCGAGTGCTTGGGCGAAGGGCCTCGGTCCGGTGGTGGCCGCCACTGAGGCCTCGCGCGACGGCCCCGGGTCCGCACACCGGCAGCCTGGACGCCTGGTGATGCCTAACCCTGTATCCCAAGATTGTTAAACAAACATTTTAGTAATTCCAAGAAATAGTTCTTGAAAGAACTCGCCATTGAATGGGAGTAAGTCATTTTTAATCTGCCAAAGGTCAACATACTAGTAAGTCTGGGAAATTTTAAGTTTGATGCCTGTATGAGTCAGCAAGTAAACTTACAAGGAACACTTAAAAATATTTTTTTCTAAGTTAGCCACACTTTAATTAAATCATTTGTGTGCACTATGCGATATTGAAAGGTTAGTTCTGAGCTTATGTGGATCTGTCTTCTAATGCATAATAATGTTTTATGAATGTTAGTATGTACTGGCCCATGCTTTGTGTAACTGACTCCTTTAATGACAAATCAACTGAAAGCCAGAATCTTCCCATAGATGATTTTTTTTGTGCTAAAAGTTGGTGATGCTCAGAGTAGTAATAGAAAGAGGGTGATGTGTGCTTAGTACTTTCATGCTCACTTGTTTGCCTAAGTAGAAACTTAATGAAGTTAAGCAGAGAAGCAGAGTTCCCCCAGTGTGACTTGGAACAGCTCTTGGAAGTTTTAGAAAGTGATCTTTTTTTTCTTGTCAAATATTTAATTTCCTGTACTGAATGGCATTTTGAACTACAGTTGACCCATGAACAACCCTGGGGTTGGGGTGCCCACGCTGTCAAAAATTTCCATGTAACTTTTGACTTTCCCAGGACTGAACTACTAATAGCCTACTGTTGACCAGAAGCCTTACTGGTACATAAACAGTTGACTTAGATGTATTTTGCATATGTATTATATACTGTATTCTTATAATAAAGTAAACTAGAGAGAGGACAATGTTAAGAAAATCACAAGGAAGAGAAATGGAAGTGGAGCATCATGAAGGTTATTATCCCCATAGTCTTCATGAATAGATTGTGGAGGAGGAAGAAGAGGAGGGATTGTCTCAGGAGTGGCAGAGATGGAAGAGATGGAGGAAGTGAAGGGGAAGTGGGAGATGCAGGCACACTCAGTGCAACTTTTGTTGAAAAAATCCGTGTATAAGTGGACCTGCCTCATTCAAACCTATGTTGCTTAAGGGTCAACTGTATTACTTTTCTAAAAGATTATTACTAACTTGCTAAGTTCTTGGGAGGCCATTATGTAAGAATCATGGGAAATGAAGTTGGTAATGAAACAATTTTGCATGGATAGTCTTCTAGCAAAGAACTTCTAATAATTTCTAGTGTCAAGCAGCAGCTGGATTAGGCTGTACAGGAAATGCTAGTTACAGAGGTGCTCTCTCAGTTACTTTTCCACTCATTCTCCAGTTTACCCATCTGAATCTAGCCGGGGTTCCTAGTCCAGCGTCTGCCTTAAGTGTTTAAGTGTTTATCGAATGGATGAATTTTAGGTCACTGTTGAGAGGACTTTGAAACTGGGAAATAACATTCATTGACCACCCTGCTAAGCAGTGTACTAGGATGTTAATTGTTCTCAGATCCTGGGGAATATGTTCTTGAACACTCTGGACTGCCTGCTGAAATCACATGGTGGTAGTGTTGACTTCTAATCATGTGCTTTAGAGTATGTTTATATTAGTTTAAAATTATTATTGATATGAATACACAAACTTAAAAGTAATTGTAGGGAAATTATTATGAATTTTTTTTTTTTTTTTTTTTGAGACGGAGTCCCACTCTGTTGCCCAGGCTGAAGTGCAGTGGTGTGATATCCACTCACTGCAAGCTCCACCTCCTGGGTTCACGCCATTCTCCTGCCTCAGCCTTAGTCTTTTACTCCTGCCTTAGTAAAAGACTAAGCTCATTCTGGATCGGGATTTGTTTTAATTATTTTTGTATCTTCCACTCTTACTGTATGCCTGACACATATATTAAAAATCAAATAATATTAGCCTGGATTCATAAGGGATATTTTTGCCCTCTCAATTAAAGAATAGCTAAGAACTAAACTCTTTAATATTGAGTGTAAGTCCAGCAGAAGCTGAGAGGTGGGAAGGATCCTTTGGGGCTAGAGTAATTGGGAAGCTTTGATGATAAAGGCCTGATGAAGGAAGGTGTGTGACCACCTAGGCTGCACGCCAGGAGCAAAGGCCCAGAGGCTGGTAAGTGAGTGCATTTTGGATTATGGGTGCCTATTATGCCTTGACTGACAGGCAGAAGAGTTTGGAACTGATTTGTTAGACAGTGTTTCTGTTTTTTTTTTTTTCCCTGGAAAATTATATTAGGCCAGCTCAAAAGCTTCCTGAACATCCATTACCTTAATTCCCTTGGTAGCATTTCAGATTAAAAATACAGCATCCAGTTTGCTTTATTTTTGTTTTTGGGTTTATCAGTTTTTCTATGTGACATTTTCCACAGTAAATCTTGGTGCCAATAATGGAAGGAGCACTGGACACACGACTGGGGAAGACTGGATTTCAGTTTATGAGAAGGTGAGCTGCTCAGGCTGGATCCAGAGAGCTTTGAGACTCGTGCCCGGCACATCTTAAGCGCTCAGAGACAAGCGCAGTGTCAAAGGCCGTTTTTCCCTTTGCTGCTTGCTAACAGTGCCTCTTTCCACAAGGCTGCCCCTTAGTTTCATTTGTAAGCATGGATGAATTTTTAAAGGCCTTTTTTTGTTTTAAAGATTTGTGATTTTGGAGGGTATATGATTTAACTTTCATTGTATTATAATTTTAGCAAAAGACAAAATGAGACAAAAGGCCATGTTTGGCTTTGGTTTAATTTTAATGAAAACCCTATGTGAGTGATGTGATGTATGTCTCAGCAGGAATCAGAAGTCATGCCAGATAGGTCAAATGAAGAAAGGCGCAGAGGGGATTAGGGACTATACAAGGAGTGTTGAGGAACAACAGGAGGCTAACAGGAGCTGGAAAGGACAGAAGGAGAAAGTAGAGCTGTCTGGAGGAGGGTCCGACTATTGCCAGAGAAGTAGTGCTGGGGGCTGGGAGGGTAACACCAAAATGTCTCAAAGTTGGAGCTGGTCCATTTCTGAAATCCAAAGTGCAGGCCTCCCACCGTTTGCTTCTGGTCTCTCCGCTTTCTCAGTCTCACTCACCCCCACTACACCTATCAGGAGCTTCTGTGGTCTTCAGTCACTGTCATGCCAGTGCGCTCGGTTGTGTCGTCGTTCTTCTGTAGCATCCGCCCGGTGGGTTCTCAGCCTTGGGCCGTCTCAACTCTCTGCCTCCTGTAATGCTTGACCCGAGTTGCGGGGGCCAGCTGGGGAAATCAGTGTCCAGATCTGTGCCCCTGTAAATCCATGGTCACCAGCTCAGCGGGGCCATCACGGAATCTTCCAGAGTTTTCCTCGTCAGCACCTGCTTCTGACCTCTGCAGAATGTACTTCCAGCATTTTCACGCTTTTCAAACCTTTCATCCTTTCACATCATTTACACACGCTCTTAGCAAGTGGTCTTGCCACCTACATCATAAATAAAAGAGACGTAAATGGAGAATCCCAGGGGCTTCTGCCAAAAACTGTTCTTCTTCCCCTAGTCACAGTGGAAGAGGCTGTATTTATGCTAAGACCAATCCTCCACCCGGACTGTGGATCCCATCTACCCCTGCCTTTGTGAGGACTTCACTCAGGTGTGCATGTCTTACTGAAGGCTTCCTTCTGTTGGCCTTTAAACATGCTTAGAGACAGACAACAATAAAGCAAAACAGGAAAAGTAGAATCCTCCCTTGATTTCACATTGCCCTTTTAAAATTCCTCTGTTTTTCCCTTTCCGGCCACATTTCTTAAACTAGTTGTTTGTAGCCAAGTTCTCACCCATCCCAGTGCTGTCTGGTTTCAGCTACGATCACTCTACTGAAGGCCAAAGTCATTCTTGAGCTCCTGGTCACAAAATCTTGTTCCTGTCATTTCCTCAGGGTAGTGCCTGGGACATAGCAAGTGTATAGTAGACATTTATTTGACTGAATAAATCCAAGGATGTTTCCTCTTCACAGCCCTAGTGGATCTGTTTTTCTGGGGTATAGGAGTCCAACACTGTCATCTTTTGAGGATCTGGGTGACTAGTCATTGCATCACAAATCTTCTTGATGGACTAGGTAAAGATAGAAATAAATGTTATTTGAGGGTAAGTTCAGTAGCTCAATGCCTGTAATCCCAGCACTTTGAGAGGCCGAGGTGGAAGGATAGCTTGAGCCCAGGAGTTTGAGACCAGCCTGGGCAACATAGTGAGACCCGTTTTCTACAAAAATTACAAAAAATTTAGCCGAGTGTGGTGGCACACGTCTGTGGTCCCAGTTACTCAGGAGGCTGAGGTGGAAGGGTCACTTGAGCCTGGATCACCTGAGGCTGCAGTGAGCCATGATTGCACCACTGCACTCCAGCAGCCTGGGTGACTGAGTGAGACCCTGTCTCAACGACAACAAAACAGAATATTATTTGATAATGATTTCTTCAATCTTGTTCAGGCAGTCTGTCTTTCTGGGAAAACAAAACCCTGACATGATTTTTTCTGAAAAACTATACTTCCTAAAATGCTAAGAATTAATGTTTTTATCTATCCATGTAGATCTAATAGACTAGTAGGACATTGGGTACTACTGGCAATAGATTTGTGAATAAATAATGCTATGCTCTCATGTGAAACTCTTTTGTTTTCCTGTTAAGCAGTGTATCTTCTTTGAAGTTTCTGTCTTCATGTATTTGTTGGGGGCGGGGGGAGAGGGATGAATTTGCACTGACCTGGTCCAGTTCTGACATGCCATCAGTGTCCGGTGGCATCGGTTGGAAGTCCAGCCACCTTTAGACCTGCAGCCGTTCCCTGTGCAACATGGTGACAGCCCTTGTCCTCTAGGAGGAGACTTGGCATGCGAAGGCAGAGGGCTTTGTGGTTCCTGGGGAATAAAGGAGACCTCTGAGTAACTCTTCCAATTAAGACAGAATCCAGTGCTTGTTTTATGAGAATAGCCGAGTAATCCAGTATTTATGTAGCGTGTTTTTTATACGGGGGCTCTGAGAGCGCAGTGGTCAGGCGGTCGCTGTGTGCTTGTCTGGCTTCCACTATTGCTTCCTGGTCATCTCAAGCACATTCTCGTCCCCTTAATCCGTTATCTCCAAACATTGTAGTGGGAGGGAAGGTCTTGATTCCCATTCCCAAAATAAATAAATACAAAGCAAGTGTCATTTATCAGTTATATGGTTTAAATTGTTGGATTATTTTCCCAAAAGAATTAAAATAAAATCAAATACGCTTTCATTTGAAACCGTAGATAGTAGTTCATTTATTTTTGTTTGCAGAGGTAGAGAAGGGAAAAAAGTATAAAAAGAGGTCCAGGAGGCTGGGCGCGGTGGCCCACACCTGTAATCCCAGCTCTTTGGGAGGCCGAGGAGGGTGGATCTCGAGGTCGGGAGTTTGAGACCATCCTAGCCAACATGATGAAACCCCGTCTCTACTAAAAGTACAAAAAAATCAGCCGGGCATGGCGCATGCCTGTAATCCCAGCTACGTGGGAGGCTGAGGCAGGAGAATCGCTTGAACCAAGGAGTCAGAGGTTGCAGTGAGCCCCTCTGCACTTCAGCCTGGTGACAGAGCAAGACTCCACCTCAGAAAAAGAGGTCCAGGAAAGCAGGACACATGACCTCTTACCTGCTTAGTCCTTCTCTTCTGCAGATGGCCCTTCTGAGGCCCAGCGAGTCTTCTGCCTCTTCTCAGGCCCTAACTCTGTACAGTGTGGACCCCGTGGGTTCTCTCAGATCTGTGCACGGTTGTATTTTTGTTAACCATGATTTGGGGATAGAGCAGGAGGAACAAGATGATTAATTTGGAAAACTGGATTGCAGAGTTCATGACCCTGTCTCTGAGACTTGTCCCAGGGTGTGCTGTTATATGGTAGAATTTGTGGCAGTGCTGATGTAACTTGCTCTTGATCTCACTCAGGAAGAGTGGAGTCTGTGTTTATAGAGAACTGGGGAAGAAAATCACCATTTTCCCAAACCCTTTTCTCAGTATCTCTGGGCCATCCCTTTGGGTCCAGCCCAGTCCAGCCCAGCGGGGACAAGTCTGTCTTAGGGGTAGGTTGAGCCTGATTCTAGAACGATTTGGTGAGTTCTCTACTTTGATTATATTTTAGGGTGCCCTGAGAGTCTGGCTGAGTCTAATTTTACTGTTGAAACTCACTGGGCAACTCTGCAACAGGATTCTTCCGGGGTCCTCTGGGCCCAAGATGGTTCCGGACAGTAAAGCTACTGAGATTCTGCTCGGTTTGTTCCCTGGTGATGCCAGTGCTGCCAGGTGGAGTCATATGTGGGGAAGGGTGGACGTTTGGGAGGGTTTTGTTTTTTTTTTTTAATGATTGTGGGGAAAATCACCTTTCTGTAGTCTGCTCTGTTAGGGAAATAGTGTTTTAACATCATGAGGCCTTCCGTGGCCTGTTGAGTAGAGGTTATCCTGGTCTTCAGTGAGTCAGAACTTCTGTATTTTTCCGGTTCCTGGCCTTCTCTAGCTGAGAAGAGCATCTGGGAGCATGACAAGGTGAGACCGTGATCACTCATTTTGTTCAGATTTCTTGTCTGCTATTGAAATTAGCGAAACTGTTCTTTACTAAAATAGTAAAAAGTACTGCTTTTATGATTCTAAAACTACTTTCAGTTGTGGTTTCATTTTCTGATTTTTTTTCTTTATATTATTACTGCTTTTTTTCTATGTATTTTTAGTCTGAAGTTCTGTGAAAAATAACAACTTGCTGTCTTTTGTTCTAGTAGTAAATATTTTGGAAAATTAAAATTGTGCCACAGTTTTAATTTGAGATATTAAATATGGGAACATTACAGAATTAACATTTTCTGACTTCTATTGCAGAAAACACTTCAAATCCATCTCTGTTTGCTTCAGTAAAGGAAAAGAGGCAGATGGTTTAAAATTAACATAGTGCATCTATAAGGAGAATGCATTTACTTAAGTGTACAGTATAAAATTAATATAGCACATCTATAAGGAGAATGCATTTACTTAAGTGTGCAGTTTAAAATTAATATAGCACATCTATAAGGAGAATGCATTTACTTAAGTGTACAGTATAAAATTAATATAGCACATCTGTAAGGAAAATGCATTTACTTAAGTGTACAGTATAAATTATAAGAAAATGTGGCCTCTTGTCTTGATTTTAGTGAAATGCTTTTGTAATAGTAATTTTCTCTTTTGCCCTGTGATGGATAGGAGGTTAATTGATGTTAAATGGATGCTTTGTTAATCCTTCATCAGCTACTAAATTGGTATGGGGGAGTACGGGTCAAGACTACACAAGGCCATGACCAGCTTGTTTTCTCAGGGAGGTTTATGGATTCCACCCGCCCCCTTCTCCAAACCACACATCACTCTCTCCAGCTGCACACAGGGAAGCTCTCCCGTCTCCCTCCCCCCTTCCTGCGGTGCTGTCCCCCCCCCAGCCTCATCCTTCTCCCTCCCTGGGCTGC